CCCATGATCCCTAGCTAGCAGGACCAGTGGTCAGGGATGATGGGAATTGTAGTCTCAAAACACCTGGAGGGCCAAGGTTGAGGAAGCCTGGTCTAACCTAATGAAGCCATCCAAGGAATATCCTAATTTAGGAAAATCTAATCCTAAACCTTTGCTGCTTTGAGGCTATACCCATTCCTGAGGAATAAGCCTCAGGAATAAACCCGCTGCCTTGTGGGACATCTTTGGGAGAAGAAAAGGAAAGGAGTAAACCCTACACAATTCAAGAGTGGAGTCCCTTAGATAGATGCCAACAGCAACAACAACATATCATGTTTGCCCAAAGGTGGAAACAAGAATGCGACCCAAAATAAAGAGGACTGGCAGCAAAAGTTACTGGAGTATGCAGAAATGGTGGTGCTGTGGTCTAAACCACAGAGCCTTGGGCTTGCCGATCAGAAGATCGGTGGTTCGAATCCCCACGACAGGGTGAGCTCCCGCTGTTCGGTCCCAGCTCCTGCCAACCTAGCAGTTCGAAAGTATGTCAAAGTGCAAGTAGATAAATAGGTACCGCTCCGGCGGAAAGGTAAATGGTGTTTCCGTGCGCTGCTCTGGTTTGCCAGAAGCAGCTTTGTCATGCTGGCCACATGACCCGGAAGCTGTCTGCAGAAAACCCCGTTTCCCTCGGCCTATAGAGCAAGATGAGCGCCACAACCCCAGAGTCGTCCATGACTGGACCTAACGGTCAGGGGTCCCTTTACCTTTACCTTACCAGAAGATTAAGAAATCAAGAAGATAGAATAAATACATGCAGATGATGAAATTAAATTTTTTAGTGCAAGAGATTAATTATACAGTGGTACCTCGGGTTACATACGCTTCAGGTTACATGCGCTTCAGGTTACAGACTCCGCTAACCCAGAAATATTACCTCGGGTTAAGAACTTTGCTTCAGGATGAGAACAGAAATCGTGTTCTGGCAGCACGGCAGCAGCAGGAGGCCCCATTAGCTAAAGTGGTGCTTCAGGTTAAGAACAGTTTCAGGTTAAGAACAGGCCTCTGGAACAAATTAAGTACGTAACCAGAGGTACCACTGTATCTAGGTTTTAATGATGGAGATGCAGGAAAAAGAAGAGACAACCTGTGTAACTGCAGAAAGGGGAGAAGGGAAGTCGATAATATATTCAAATGTCTTAAAAGATTATCTGATATGTTCTGTAAAATGAGAAAATATGGAAATAAAATTTATTTTAACAAATAGAATCATAGAGCTGGAAGGAACCCTGAGGATCATCTAGTCCAACCCCCTGCGATGCAGGAATATGCAGCTGTTCCCTATGGGGATCGAACAAGCAACCTTGGCCTTATCAGCACCACACTGAGCTACCCAGACAATTTGACAAAGCTGAATTGTATGCATCCCCACCTACAGGCTGCAGACACACCATGTGTTTAAAGCTCGTGGCTCAAATGAATCCTGGGAACTCTAGTTTATGTGGGAATGTTCAGGGATTCAGGAGAGGATATATTGTCTGATAATACCCTTTCCAACTTGTGTTAACAAGTTTACAATTTAGCAGAGTAACGTTCCCCTTTTTAAACTTGCAGCGGATGCATTTGCTCAGGCTCGCTAAAGCCTCTATAATAACTGTTCTGGTATGTTTCCCTTATTCCCTCATAAAAGATAAGACACAACACAGTCATCTACAAAAGTATAAAAAGATTTACTCACATCAGTCTGTTCACAATAGGATCCCAGAAGGCAGACTTAGCTTAGAAAAGTATCATATACCTGGAATCTATCTCATAAGGAGATAGTCCCTTTGTCCTCTCTTGGCTGGAAGCCAGGAGGGCATCTTTGGCTAAGCAGATGTTGCTTCTTTGATGCATGTAGTAAAAAAAAAGAGAGAGATGGCTGCCCTGCCCTGTGCTTTTGTCGTTACCTGCACAGGTGAGGCCACACCCACCTCTAGTCACATGCAGAGGAAGTCTTTCCAAGTCCAGAAGGAAACAGGAAGTTTACCTGCTGGCTGGACAAACATTCCTCCCCATGTGTAAACATGTTCACTCTAGGAATGTTGTACTTGACTGCTCTTGTGTTTCACATCCCACAGTTTACCCTCACATCAAGACAATTCTCAGCACACCTAACAAACTACAGTTCCCACCATTCTTTGGGGAAAGTCAACTGCTTTAGAAGTATGGTATGTGTGCAGCCACAGTCTTCAAATCCACTGGGAAGTCTGAAGAAGAATCACATTCATGTCTGAGGGTTACAACAGCAGCCTAAGGCTTGCTTGAACAAAACCGGATGAGAGGCTGGCCACATCAACCCATGAAAAGGCATATGACAAGGGAACCCATTATGTGCAAAGTCCATTTATTGTATAACTAAATAAGTCCCAGTGCTTTTTCAAAACTCACCAGCTTTTGTGTGTGTGTGTGTGTGTGTGTGTGTTTTCCCCTTCTCCAGAAAATGAACTATGAAGCAGGATAGAATTAAACTGCTCTAGTCCAACGTAATCCTCTTTCCATGCAAAGACAGGCCACCGCAAGTTGGTAAAAGCAACAACCCACTGACTTCTGATTGACTTGCTTTGTGCTTTGATGATTTTGTTTCCTTGCTTGCTTTTTGTTTTAAGAATTTTTTTAAAAAATCAGTGAAATGATTAATAAAAATATAACTCTCAAGGCAAGGGCATAGATTTTTCCAGCACCAACTCCCGAAGTAGACTAATTGCCTCTTGGGATTGTGCAAGAGACCTGTTGTATATTTATTTATTTATGCAAATTCTTTGTCTCTCAGCCAATCAGTAAAGTGGGTATTTAGTGAGTCAAGAACCATCACGCTACAGGCAGACAAGTTTGATGACTCAACAGTCCTTTCACCCCAGGAATGTTTTGATTGAAATAAGATGAAGCCTAACCCAAACGGATTGATTAAATCTATCTTGCCGCAGAGAGATAATGCACTTGTTTGGTTTGTTTCAGGTTGCTGAGTTGCGTTGAGCTTAGTAAGTGCCATGTGCAAAGGGGTCTTGAGTGACAACACACACACACCGGCCTTGCTTGTATGTATATGACAGAATCAAATGTAGGCTCCATGGGACTTTCTCCTATGCTAGAAAACTGGCACTTGATTGTGTGTTTATTACAACTACTATTACTATCACTTGCAACAATATTCACTACAAAAGAAAATGCCTCTTTGTTTCCAGAAGAGAGAAAGAGAGATCTTCCGTATCACAGATCTTCCAAATGTGCAAAAACTAAACAGTAAAACAGATTTATTCTGCACACCTAACAGAAGATACAATCGTTAGCCATTAAAAAGGGAGCCAGTTCACTAGTATATATTTCTACTGGGTACTAAGCTTTAGCTAATGCTGAGAACTGGATCTGTGATAAGCAGGCTCATTTCATTAATAAAATTAACTTCCATTGTTTAGAGAGCCATTTATATTTCAAAAGACTTGATTGCATAGGGGTGGGGGTGCTGGAAGGGGGCGGGGAGCCTTGCTAAGAGGTTCCATGCCAGCACTTGCCATTTTTCAGGGACGAAAAAGGTACATTGTCGGATCTAATGGCAATTGAATATTTACCATGTAGGGAATACAGCTTTGGCTAAATTGCTATGTCCTCAACTGTGTGTAAGAAAACAGAGCATGGTACGAATACGAGGCCAGCAGCTTCTAAATATGTCCTCTTGTAAAAAGAGAACCACAATTGAATTTTCAAGTAAATCTCCATTACGAGTTTGTTCGTATCTCCCCACCTAATCAATCTTGCAGGGGGGTTGTGAGAGGTTGTCTGCCCTTTGCAGTGCGATCTTCTGGGAGTTTGCAAGGAAACTCAATGGTATAGGAGTACCTCAGGTTAAGTATTTAATTCATTCCGGAGGTCCGTACTTAACCTGAAACTGTTCTTAACCTGAAGCACTACTTTAGCTAGTGGGGCCTCCTGCTGCCGCTGCGCTGCCGGAGCACGATTTCTGTTCTCATCCTGAAGCAAAGTTCTTAACCTGAAGCACTATTTCTGGGTTAGCGGAGTCTGTAACCTGAAGCATATGTAACCTGAAGCGTATGTAACCTGAGGTATCACTGTACATCACCGGATTTGCCTGCAGAAGGTTCACAGAGCTACAGTCTCCAGAGTGGCTTAACAGTGCCTCTTCACAGTAAACCACAAAGGATGTACAAAGTTGCAGACTTTTTAATTTTAGAGAAAAGGCGTCATGATATATAAACGTAACATTCGGCACAGCATGGGGAAAGTGGATAGAGAAGAGTTTTTCTCCCTCTCTCACAGCTCTAGAACTTGCAGACATCCAGTGAAAGTGAATCTTGAAAGATTCGGGGCAGATAAAAGCGGGCCCGTAGTGCAGTGTGTAGTTAAAACAATGGAACTCACTGCCACAGGATTGGCAGTGATGGCCACCAGCCTAAAAGAGAATTAGACAAATTAAGGGAGGAGAAAGCTATCCATGCCATAAGAGCCAACTCCTAGGGGCTGAGATCCCTTTGCCCCCCCCATAAAATATTTGAGCGCCCCACCAGTTGATAGGCATTGCCATTCAAATGGTGTGCATGGACAGCATCATGCAGAGCGAGGCTTCCCTGCCCCCTCCCCCCCAAATATTTTATTCAAGTTGGCTTAGCACCCCTGATCGCAGGCAGCAACGCTTATGAACAGCAGTTTCTGGAAACCACAGAGCTCCTGCGCTCAGCTCCTGCTGGTAGGCTTCCCAGAAGAGGCTGGACGAGATCGAGATGGGCTCGTCTTACGTCCTTAAGGCAGTTTTCCCAGGCTGCTGCGTCTGATCCGCACGAAGCGTAAAAAAAGGCGCGCCAAACTTTGCCAAAACTTCTCGCCGCTGTTCCCTCGATTGGGGATCCTTTGAAGCCATCCCTTGCGACGACCTTGGGCCGCTCTTTCGCTCGCTTGCCAAGGGGTGTCTCCCCCACCCTCCACCCCACCCTTGCCCGCCTCTGGGCCCTCCCCCTCGGCCTGCCTTCCCCTTCTCCCCGGCGAGCTCGCGATCAGATCCTGGGACCGGCGCGCCAGGCAGCTCGTTGGGCAGCGCCTCGGCCGCGCCGTCGGAGGAGGAGGCGGCGGCGGCGAGGAGGGCGATGCAGAAGCCGGCCGGCCAGAAGGAGCGCCTCTACAAGCTGCTGGTCATCGGCGACCTGGGCGTGGGCAAGACCAGCATCATCAAGCGCTACGTCCACCAGAACTTCTCGCCGCACTACCGCGCCACCATCGGCGTGGACTTCGCGCTCAAGGTGCTCACCTGGGACCCGGAGACGGTGGTGCGGCTGCAGCTGTGGGACATCGCGGGTGAGTGGGGGTGGGTGGGAGGGGGGAGCGAGGAGCAAAGGTAGGTCCGCCTTTTGACACGGGGTGGGTGCGCAGGGGGTTGGGGGTGGGAGTCAGGGGTAGAGGTAGAGATAAGTCTCTCCACTGATCCGGGCTGGGCGCGCCAGGCGCAAGAGGGGAGAGGCGAGGAGGTTGGTCTCCCCACTCTCTTGGAGTGGGTGCTCCAGGCACGGGTGTGTGGCATGCGAGTCAGGAGTAGAGATGGGTCCCTCTACTGACCCGGGGTGTGTGTGTTGTGAGTCCAGTGCTTCCTTGCCTTCAGGGCCGGGCGTGGAATTGCGTGAAGTGATAATACTAGACCCGCTCAGAAGCTGCCTTCTAAACTCTCTGGTTGGAGCCTGCTAAGCCCTACTTAGAGGAGACCCATTGGGATCAATGTGCATGGCTCCACGGAAGTGCGTTGGGTCTCCAAGGGCGAGGATCCCAGCCAAAAACATGGCATGTTTACTCTGTGATCCTGTTGCCTTCAAGGAAGTAATAATAAAATTATTATTAAGTATGCTGTAGGGTTTGCAGGCTGAAAGCATTTTCCAACTCCGGTTCAGGAGCTGTGTTCCAAACTTATGGGCGTGATCCAGCTCAGTTGAATCGGTTGAATCGGTAGTCCCACAGAGTCGAGTGTGACTCACTTCACTGTGTCAGGATTTCAGCCTTCTTGCACTTCTAAGTCTTGTTTACTTTAGTTAAGAAGCTGAGCTTATGCGGTGTACTCGGTTGTAAGGCCCATGAGTTCCATGCATGTAGCATTGCTGTCTTAAAACACTTTCAAGTTCAGCACATTGAAATCAGTGGGATTTAATTTGGCTGGGTCGCCTAATTAATTAATTAATTAATGGAAAGAGTCTAGCCAGAGTTAAGCATTTTTAAGCCCCTGCTGGTTTTCATTGGAGAGATTTAATGCATGTAACTCCCTGCCCGGAATCCGCGAGACTTTAAAAGTGCTGTAACTGTGGGCAGTTCTATGAGACTCTGTTTTCAAATATTTATTGAATAGTTATTACAGGAGCAAAACAAAACAAAAAAACCTCGACCTTTGAAACCTCAAACCGATGTTGTTTCTTTAACCTTTATTGGCATAAGTTCAAACAATAAAGGCATACAAAGTCATCCAAATACATTAAGAATCCAAACACATAAAATATATAAAAGGCTCGGTAGCCACCGCTGAATATATCAGACAACTTTGGATTTAGCTTTAAAAATCTCGGCTAAGTATCCTGAAACAATCTTGGTAGTTTCGGGAATATCATCCCTCAACAAATATTGGGTTATAGATTCTTTATGTAACTGTTTAAATCACACACCTCCATCCAAATTTCCATTGATTTCAGTAGGAATCCAGATATCTAGATATCTCTACTCTAAGGTAAGGCCAATTGAGTTAAATGACACTTACTTCCAGATAAGTGTGTGTAACATTGCAACCTTAATAAAAAATTAAAAAATAGTCCAGTAGCACCTTAGAGACCAACTAAGTTTGTTGTCCAGTGTATCTGAAGAAATGTGTATGCACACAAAAGCTTATACCTAGAACAAACTTTAACTGCATCAGACCAACACAGCTACCTACCTGAATTGCAACCTTAAGTATATGCATCATCTCTTCCTTTGAAATTAGGAATGCTTAATCTTGGTTGGATGTTGCCTTTAGAATGCAAACTCTTTGATGCAGAGGCCTTCCTTTTGCACCCATTATTCTAGCTGTATTCATAGGTAAAGGTAAAGGCACCCCTGGCCGTTAGGTCCAGTCACGGACAACTCTGGGGTTGCGGCGCTCATCTCGCTTTACAGGCCGAGGGAGCCGGCGTACAGCTTCCGGGTCATGTGGCCAGCATGACTAAGCTGCTTCTGGCAAACCAGAGGAGTGCATGGAAATGGCGTTTACCTTCCGGCCAGAGCGGTACCTATTTATCTACTTGCACTTTGACGTGCTTTCGAACTGCTAGGTTGGCAGGAGCAGGGACTGAGCAACAGGAGCTCACCCTGTTGCGGGGATTCGAACCGCCGGCCTTCTGATCGGCAAGTCCTAGGCTCAGTGGTTTAAACCACAGCACCACCCGCATCCACCCACTGTATTCATATGTCACAATAAACAATAGTTAAACATCTTACCGTGAATGCAGAGATCGCTCCCACTTCATTTCTCCCCTAGTACAAGTAGGAGCACAAACCCTAGTTTAGTGGGATTGTGGATTGCTTTACTCCAAACCATGGTCTCTTCCAGGCAACCTGATTTGCTTGTGGAGAGGTCCAAAATCAACTTTTTGCTGAGCATCCACTCTCAATTTGTTTTGGGGAAAGTTAGATGACATTACGTCGGCAAGTATATTTCCCCGTCACTTTCCTTCTCTCAAAAATCTTGCTGTTTTTTCGGAAGCGGGTTTGTTGCACAAGAGCTCCAAACCAACTTTAATCGTGCAACCTGAGTTTGCCTGTACCTGACTGAATCCCACCTGAAAATAACAAGAGTTTGGAAGTTCCCCACAAACTGGTAAGCCAGGAACAAACCTCAGCTTCACCATGACTTCTGGGTTAGATGTAACGCTAAACCATGGTTTGTTGCTTGTACTAGAGAAGGAGCTTTTTCAAATAACAATTTACTATGGCTTTGCTGTGGCGCACAAAAACAGCCTCTCTGAAGCATGATGCACATTCTGTAAGAAGCAATGATAACAAGGAAACCGGATGCCTTTATCTGTCCCTGCAGATGTGCCCCCAAAGGCTCCTCCATTGTCTCCCGAGACATATGGAAGCCAACCAGCCAACCAACCATGCATCAAACATCTGGGGCTTCCACCGGAGGGAGAGAATAGACCATTTCAGATGGTTTCTACCTCCTATCCTGCTCCAAAGGGGTCTCCGTAGGAATCTGCAGGAGCAATTGATGAATATCACTCCCCCCTCTCCACCCACAGGAACGTCCAAGTAGTGGAGACCCTCTCTAGGCAACTCTGGATGCAACCTGTTTATGTTTCTTAGATGCATGGCTAAGAAATGTCAGGTGTGCCCTGGAAAGTATAATGTGCAAATGGGGACGAACCTGTGTTTGCAGCACTTTGTGTGGCTGCAGTCCTCAACTGCTGCTCTAGACTAGAGAGTGAGCCCCACTGAATTCGGCTATTGGCTCTGTCTAGGCTTGCACAGCCAGGGGGCACATTTCAAAGAATGCTGAGCTTCTGCCCAACCACCGACCCACTGATAGAGCTGAAGCATGCACAAGAGCGTAGGCTCTCTGCATGATCAGAATCTTTACAAAGTCACATGCTTTTTAGCTGCCGCCCTCATTTTGCTCCAACCACTTCTCTAGCAACCAAGGAAAAAGCACGAGTTCACGAACATTTTTATTGCAATAAAATAGCCATCGGATAAATGGATTCTTCGCCAGTCATCATGTTCTAGGCCAAATCGCTGCAGTACACTGTTGCAAAAAAATAAAAACCAGTTGCCTTTGGCCCTTAAGAAGAAGAAGAGTTTGGATTTGATATCCCACCTTTCACTCCCTTTAAGGAGTCTCAAAGCGGCTAACATTCCCCTTTCCCTTCCTCCCCCACAACAAACACTCTGTGAGGTGAGTGGGGCTGAGAGACTTCAAAGAAGTGTGACTAGCCCAAGGTCACCCAGCAGCTGCATGTGGAGGAGCGGGGAATCAAACCCAGTTCACCAGATTACGAGTCCACCGCTCTTAACCACTACACCACACTGGCTAAATATAGGAATGGTCCATGTCTGCCTCCTGAACTGGGTCTGCTGAAGCTTACCTGGATGGGCAGGATGGTGTTGAGGTTGGGGATGTACATTTGCAATGGGGGAAGTACTGGAGTGGCTCTTTGGGACAGCCCTGAACTCACCCCTGCACCAACCAGGGATGCTGCAGCAGACCTGTGTTGAGAATCAGCTCCACAGCCCAGTCATACCTTCCACTCCCACTTACACAGGAAACTTCATGCATAAAGCGTATTACAGTGGTACCTTGGTTCTCGAACTTTAGCCGTTCCTGGAGTCCATTTGAATCCCGAAACCGTTCAAAAACCAAGGCTCGGCTTCCGATTGGCTGCAGGAGCTTCCTGCACTCAAGCAGAAGCCGTGTTGGACGTTCGGCTTCTGAAAAATGTTCGCAAACCGGAACGCTTACTTCCAGGTTTGCAGCGTCCAGGAGCCGATTTGTTTGGGAGCCAAGGCGTTCGACAAGCAAAGTACCACTGGACTTTGTAGTTTCTGCTTTTAATTTGGTGTGTCGACTTTACTTGCCACTCTTGCCAGTGTTGCCCTGTTCGTGCCTTCGACAGAATTCTTATGCTTAATTTCTTGTTTTAGGCCACCGATGCACAAGACCTCGGGGTCTGCATCGCATGTCGCAAGATATTGTAGTGCTGTGGCTCATTACAGAATTGTAATTGAAATATTTGTTTATCCGATGGTTGTTGTTTTTAAAACAATTTGTTCTACTCTTTCTCTCCCAACTGCACCCCTGGCCATTCCTTCGGGTAACCATGTCAAGAAAAATATGTTTTAGAGGCAGGCATTAACTGCCTCTACGAAAACAACAACAACCTATAAACCAGTATTCCTCAGACGAGGGTTTTGCAAATAAATAAATGCAATGTAGCTACAGCTTTAATTTCTTTAAACTCTCCTCTTACTGATTCCTCCTCCCCGTCTCTCCCTAGAATTACATAAAACAAGACCAGGGAAATAAAATTCCTAACGTTCTTTTGGAATTAAAGGATTTTAGGTGCTTGTGCTGTGCGTTTGGCAGGGCCGAGACGAACAATAATTATGCAATGGTGCCATTTGCATCTCACCCCTTTGACACTGTGCACACATACCTGGCTTGTTAAACTGCCTCTCTACCTCTAGAATCCTGCACTAGCGCTAAGTTTTTAGCATTCTTATACATTGCACTGGTGGCTACTGTGGAACTCCTTCCCACGTTCCTGGGTTCCTCAGTGAAATCTCCGGCTACGTAGGAGGAGTTCGCCTAGTTGCCTATTCCTATTCTGCTGTTGCCCCGCCCATGGAAATTACTCATGTGGGGAGGAGCCACACTGTTGTCTGTTCTAATGGAGGCCGGTATGCAGGGAGATGTGGGAGACCAACAGTTTGTTGTTGTTGTTGTTTAGTCATTTAGTCGTGTCCGTCTCTTCCTGACCCCATGGAGCAGAGCACACCAGGCACTCCTGTCTTTCACTGCCTCCCGCAGTTTGGTCAAACTCATGCTGGTAGCTTTGAGAACACTGTCCAACCATCTCGTCCTCTGTCGTCCCCTTCTCCTTGTGCCCTCCATCTTTCCCAACATCAGGGTATTTTCCAGGGAGTCTTCCCTTCTCATGAGGTGGCCAAAGTATTGGAGTCTCAGCTTCAGGATCTGTCCTTCCAGTGAGCACTCAGGGCTGATTTCCTTCAGAATGGATCGGTTTGATCTTCTTGCAGTCCATGAGACCAACAGTAGGTGGAGCCAAAGCCAGTGTCCCATTTTCCCATGCAGACCAGCCTTCTTTGGACTCCACCTGACCATCTTGGGCTCCTCTCTTGCAATCGGGCAGAAAGAAAGAGCCCCACTGCACCGTCAGCTCCCATGCCACCAACGTAACAGAAAATGGGCGTCTTATCTCTGCATGCAAAAGTGCAAGATAGTAGCTCGTATTTGCACTTGCTTATGGTGTTTGGAAATCGTAACTTGTAAGACGAGCCTGCTGGATCAGGCCCGTGGCCCTTCTAGTCCAGCATCCTCTTCTTGTGGAGGCCAACCAGATGCCCATGGGAAACCCGCAAGCAGGACCTGAACGCAAACTCACTTTCCCCTCTTAAGGTTTCCAGAAAGTGGTATTCAGAAGCAAAGCTGCTTTCGTCCATGGAGGCAGAACATAGTCATCATGGCTACTAGCGACCATTGACAGACTTACTCTCCATGAGTTTGTCTTAAAACCATCTAAGTTGGTGGAGATCACTTGTCTCCTGTGGGAGCAAGTTCCCTAGTTTAGCTATGTGCTGCATGAAGTATATTCCTTCATTTGAACCTTCCAGCATTCAGCTTCATTGTATGTCAATGATGATGATGGTGATGGTGATGATGATGTTAATAATAATAATAATAATAATTTATACCCCACCCATCTGACTGGGTTTCCCCAGCCACTCTGACGGCTCCCAGCAGAATATTAAAAACAGAATAAAACATCAAACATTAAAAACTTCCCTAAACAGGGCTGCCTTCAGATGTCTTCTAAAAGTCAGATACAGTGCTACCTCGGGTTACATACGCTTCAGGTTACAGACTCCGCTAACCCAGAAATATTACCTCGGGTTGAGAACAGAAATCGTGCTCCAGTGGCGCAGCGGAAGCAGGAGGCCCGATTAGCTAAAGTGGTGCTTCAGGTTAAGAACAGTTTCAGGTTAAGAATGGACCTCCGGAACGAATTAAGTACTTAACCAGAGGTACCCCTGTAGTTGTTTATTTCCTTGACATCTGATGGGAGGGCGTTCCACAGGGCGGGCGCCACCACCAAGAAGGCCCTCTGCCTGGTTTCCTGTAACTTGGCTTCTTGCAGTAAGGGAACTGCCAGAAGGCCCTCAGAGCTGGACCTCAGTGTCTGGGCTGAACAATGGGGGTGGAGACGCTCCTTCAGGTATACAGGACCAAGGCCGTTTAGGGCTGTAAAGGTCAGCACCAGCACTTTGAATTGTGCTCGGAGACGTACTGGGAGTTCTAGTGTTAGCATGATTACTATTATTGGGGAGAATTGTAGCAAATGTTAACAACCTGAATGCATTAGAATAGCAGTGATATTAAAATGCTCTCTTTTATAAGTTGGATAATATCTAAAGAGAGAGCATCATAGACACACAGGAAGCTGCCTTACACTGAATCAGACCATTTTATCCAGCTCAATATAATCTACACTGACCTACAGCAGCTCAGAGGGTTGAAAATGGGGCCTTTTGAATCAAAACAGATGTTCTACCACTGAGCTAAGGCCCTTTCCCCATGATTTTACAATCCTTCCAATTTGTGCAAGGAAGACTAGTACAACAAATCATGTGCTGAAAGATCATATGATGTAGCTTTCAGGCAGATCGCTAAAGATTTGGAAGTAATTCTAAAAAATGCTCTGGGTTTTAATGAGCTGCACAACCTTTGAATTATGCCACAGGGCAGAAAGAATTACTGCACTGTATTTGCAAGAGCAGAGTTTTGCTAAACTAGGAGTGGGCAATGTTTTTGGCCACATGCAGAGGTGAGTGGTTGTTAGGGATTGCACACTCATGTGCACACACACACACACACACACACATGCACAAATGTATGAACCCTTCCCTTCTCTGTCTCTCTCTCTCTCATGCACAAACCACTTATGATTTGTGGAAATCATACTTTGTTATTACACCAGAGCTGGCCAACCACAGCTTACTTTTTCTGATATAATAACAAACTATGTTTTCCCACAAAAACAGAAGTAATGCCGAATATAGAAAACGAGAAGGGACAGAGATGGGAAGAGAGAGTACAAATACACAAGTCTTCTTTGCATAAGACTTAATGGACTTCACATTACAGGTGAGCTATGTTTGGACATGGAACACCGTGGTTGGTTTTCTAAAGTATGGTAAGCACAGACCATGGTTTGATGTGATATCTGAATTGACTTGAGTCACTGTCTCACACCAAGATCTCATTTAGTATTATTTGGCTGGTTTGCATGTGGTTCTAAACCATGGTTAGCATGGTTCTAAACCATGGTTAGCACCATGTGGATGAACCTCATCAAAGTATCAGAGTTACACACTCCTCTATCCTCCTTCAAGCTGTGTGGGACAATGACCTCTGCTGAGCTTACTTGCAGTTACAAAGGATGCTGGCTGTGAATACGGGCTTAAATCAAGCAATGGTTCGTTGCTTAACAAGCCAACTTCAAACCATGGGTTATGAAGCTGGCTAGTTTAAGTAGCCATTGTTTCTTGCAAACCAGGATTAATCATTCTCAAGGAATGCTTAAAAGTAAACTTGCCAGAGTCTTGTCCTAGTTGGCTTTCTAGTCAGGCTTTCTAATGCTTGTTTACAAAATGCTGAACCAGTTCATTAATTTTTTGGCTACTAACTGACTCAAATACAGTATATACATTCCTTTTGTAGGGCTATAAGCTTTAATCAGTACAGTACAAACGTTAAATTTAGCTAATTGGTCAGTCATCTAAATAATTGGTTAGGTCGGACAATCCAATTTTTGGTCATTATTTGGGGTGGTTGCTGCGGGAAGTTGAGGTTAATTTGGTTCTGCTGTAATAGAAAACAGAAAAGAGAATATCAAAGATGTCCTTTGCATCTAAGGGATCGCTTTTGTTAATTAAATTGCAGCTTATCTTAATCTTGCGTTGATATCTCAAAAGGCAACTCTATTAAGATTCCAGTACTATGGAAATGAATTTACATTGAATTGATTCAGTAGTTGATTAATTGGTTAAAAGTCCATGGGGAAGAGATTTTCAACCGCAATCACACGGGATGTGGGATGGGTATTAACAGTTTAGCCATCCCACTAGCTCAGTTGGAGTGAGAATACTTGGTATTAGCATGCACAATCTAAATACTAGTGTGTATGTTAATGACAAGTCTCTCTCTTTTTCATCTTCCTCTTCTAAGCATTTTAATCTCTGTGCCTCACATGGAAGCCAGCCTCTGTAATGAATGGATGGGTTCATTTTCCATGCCTGCCAGTTTCCCCTTCAAAAACAGAAGCCTTTGGGAACCCAGAGATACTCTTCAAGGGCTTAGAAAGACTGTAAGGAAAATATGAGTATTATCATGCATTAGTGTGGAGAGCATTAGAGTGTACCTTTTCTGGAGCGCAAACAGGGGTTGCATGCAAAAGTGAGATAGTCATGGTGCTTTCTTGGTCACAGTCCCCTGACAGAGGCCTCTTTTTGTAAAATGGGGGAGGGGTTTTCTTCCTTACCTCTCGCAACTGGGAACATGCTGTGGTTCATGAACAATGCCCTCAGCGTCCAAGCACCAGAGGTTGCGTTGTGAAACGTGGATAGCCATCCACTGGGAAGTTCACAGGTTATCTGTTTTGTTTTATTTATTTAGGCACTTAAACACTGCCTTTTCAAAGCAAAAAAAAGAAAAGTCTCTGCAAAGCATCTCACAGTATTAAATGGGAATAAAATGCAGTTTTTAAACAGTAAAAAATTAATATGGCCAACCATTAGGGTAGTAAGAATGGGACGCGGATGGCGCTGTGGTCTAAACCACTGAGGCTTTTGGGCTTGCCAATTGGAAGGTCAGCAGTTCGAATCCCCACGATGGTGTGAGCTCCCGTTGCTCTGTCCTAGCTCCTGCCCACCTAGCAGTTCGAAAGCACACCAGTGCAAGTAGATAAATAGGTACCGCTGCGGCAGGAAGGTAAACGGTGTTTCTGTGCGCTCTGGCTTCCGTCATGGTGTTTTGTTGCACCAGAAGCGGTTTAGTCATGCTGGCCACATGACCTGGAAAGCTGTCTGTGGACAAATGCCAGCTCCCTCAGCCTGAAAGTGAGATGAGCGCCACAACCCCATAGTCGCCTTTGATTGAACTTAACCATCCAGGGCTCCTTTACCTTTTTACCTTAGGGTAGTAATATACCATATTTTTCGCTCTATAAGACGCACCAGACCACAAGACGCACCTAGTTTTTGGAGGAGGAAAACAAGAAAAAAAATATTCTGAATCTCAGAAGCCAGAACAGCAAGAAGGATCGCTACACTGTGAAAGCAGCAATCCCTCTTGCTGTTCTGGCTTCTGGGATAGCTGCGCAGCCTGCATTCACTCCATAAGACGCACACACATTTCCCCTTACTTTTTAGGAGGGAAAAAGTGAGTCTTATAGAGCAAAAAATACGGTATTTAACAGACATGGCTTCCCTCCAAGATTCTTGGGAGCTGTAGTTTGCAAAGGGTGCTGCGAACTAGAGCTCTGTGAGGGGCAGCACCCTTAACAAATTACAGCTTCTGGGATTCTTTGGGGGAAGACTACCATGTTTGATAACAAACTAGGTGAGAGTGTTTAAAATCTATGGCATGGATGTTGCCCCATTGCTTTCCGTGGATATGGGTATTGCCTAGTAACAACCCCTGAAAATAAGTCTCTGAATCTCCTTGGCACATACAAGAAGTGCAAAACTACCTCAGTTCACATCAAGGGGCTTACTCTGGAAGACTTTCCCTGGTTTTGTTAGTGGAAGGGTGGAACTGTTTTGATCCTCCACTACAGGCACCCGAAATCTCTTGAGATTGCCATGGCCCCCCCCCTCAAAAGGCTGAGCTAGCCGTGACAGGGGGAAACCTATGTGAAGAATCAGTTCAATTCATCCATCACTTTGTTGCAGCATGCCAGGTGTGGAGAAGTTAAGGATAACAGAATCATAGAATTGAAGAGTTGAAAGGGACCCCAAGGCACATCTAGTCTAGCCCCTTCAATGCAGGAATCTCAACAAAAGCATCCATGAGGGATGGCCGTCCAATTTCTGCTGAAAAACCTCCAGTGTAGGAGAGTCCAACACCTCCTGAGGGAGTCTGTTCCCTCAGAAAGTTCTTCCTGATGTTGAGTCAGAATTTCCTGTCTTGAAACTTGAAGTCATTGGTTCAGGTCCTACCTTCTGGAGCAGGAGAAAACAAGCTTGCTCCATCTTCCATGTGGCACCCTAGGAAGATAAATGGTAAGGCTTCACTGAAAGTTCACATGGTCTTTATTTCAACCGTTCAAAGGGCATAGGGGGTAGAAGAAGAGTTTGGATTTGATATCCCGCTTTATCACTACCCGAAGGAGTCTCAAAGCGGCTAACATTCTCCTTTCCCTTCCTCCCCCACAACAAACACTCTGTGAGGTGAGTGGGGCTGAGAGACTTCAAAGAAGTGTGACTGGCCCAAGGTCACCCAGCAGCTGCATGTGGAGGAGTGGAGACGCGAACCCGGTTCCCCAGATTACGAGTCCACCGCTCTTAACCACTACACCACACTGGCTCTCATTCAAAGATGCCTCTGAAAAGGGCAGAGGGGAACATGATGGTGGTGGGGTATTGGGTTTCATGAACTAAACGAGATACAGTGGACACTCGGGTCACGAACGTGATCCATGCGGGAGGCACGTTCGCAACCCGCAGCATTCGCAACCCGCAGCATCGCATGTGCGCGATTTAGTGCTTTTGCGCATGCGCAAGCACCCAAACCCAGAAGTAACCCGTTCTGGTACTTCCGGGTTCAGTGCAGTGCACAACCCGAAAACGTGCAACCTGAAGCATCTGTAACCCGAGGAATGACTATATCTTCTTTTCGGCTCACAGGTGTTTAAAAATCCCACGCTCACTCACAGTAGACTGGGGCTGTTTGTGGGTAGACTTGCAGCCCAGAAGCACTTTCCAGATTGAACACATGGCACTATGTAGAGGCCTGTCCACTCTGTTCTGTCCCCTTCCATATAAAAGAGGCACGGGTGTGGGGAGTCCACTTTTAAAGGGAATGAAATTTTTGAAGAAAAAATTGGGGTGAGCACAGAACTACTATATAGAGTCTTCACCCATTTCCTTTTGCAATTCCTCTCTGCTAGAATTTAGATCGTGTGTGTGTGTGTGTGTGTGTGTGTGTGTGTGTGACTGGCAGACCTCTGACCTCTTGGGCCAAAAGGGAAAGGCTAGATTTATTTGAACTTTTTCACTCCTAAGAATCCTTCAGCCCTCTTCATTTCCCTGCAGAGGTCTTGCAAAATTCACTGTGTGAAATTCTCTTGCTGTAAGCTACTGCTCTGAAAATTAATTGAATTTTTTAGAAGGAGGTATGCTGGCATACAAGGGAAGCTTCTCAGGGAAGGGGTGGTTGAACAACACATGATATAGCCACTCATCTGATTAGGCTGTGGAGAAAGATCATAAGGCATCTTATGCAGGAAATGGTCCAAAAGAGTTGTGTGCATTTTTGTGTGCGTGCGTGACCTTCGCTTCTCCCCCAAAAGATCATGCTTCGAGTTTAGCGTCATCAATGGATAGCAGTGTTAAATAAGAGAGAAAGAATCAAAGACAGAAATTCACTTTTGGATTTTCTGAATCATGTGAATGAATTTGTGCCCTCCTTTTTTAAAAAAGAAAGAAACGTTAGCCTATTGAACAATAGCTCAGTGTTGCAAACCTGTGATATTGTCTGTGTCATAAATGGGGCAGCTCGTGGCTGTGTGCTTTTGGCCATTGTGCATTTGGAAGAAGAAGAAGAAGAAACACATGATGTGTGGGGGGGAGCAGAGGAATTGGGGTGGTGGATCTGGACTCTGAAAGTTGCGACCTTCCAACCCATCTTCCTCTTAAGAGCTCTGGCTGGTCTGCTGCTTGGCTTCAGAGATGGAAGCAGGAGTTTTCAAGCTGTGTTCCAATGGAATCTTGGGGTTCTTTGGGAGATTTCTGGAAAAGGATACCCATAATGGCAAATGAGCCTCTTTCTCAGAGCAAGAAAATGTTTCAGAATCTGGAGAACAGATTTCAGAACTTTGGGGGGGGGCGTGTTTCCCAATAAATTTGTATTATTTTCCTTACACATTTTTCAAACAATACATGGATCAACATATCAACCTTTTTGCTCTGCCGAGCTTACAACTTCCCTCCTTCCCTTCAGCTACTAGTCCCTAGGTCTAGTCGTGACCGACTCTGGGGTTGCGGCGCTCATCTCACTTTATTGGCCGAGGGAGCTGGCGTACAGCTTCCGGGTCATGTGGCCAGCATGACAAAGCTGCTTTTGGCAAACCAGAGCAGCACAGAGAAACGCCGTTTACCTTCCCGCTGCTTTCGAACTGCTAGGTTGGCAGGAGCAGGGACCGAGCAACATGAGCTCACCTCATCACGAGGATTCAAACCGCCAACCTTCTGATCAGCAAGCCCTAGGCTCTGTGGTTTAACCCACAGCGCCACCTTCAGCTGGTATATCCCATATCAAATCCAATCGCACATTCTAGCTCTTTACAACTTATCTACATTGTAGGAGTTACTTCAGTCCTGCTAGTGTTTTTAAATTTTTACAGTTATCATTTAAATATACAATAAATTTACTCCAGTCTTTCTGGAATTTCTGATCGTCCTGGTCTCAAATCCTGCAAGCCAGTTTGGCCAACTCAGCAAAATCCATCATCTTCACCTGCCACTCCACAATAGTAGGAATTTCTTGTGTTTTCCATTTTTGGGCCAACAAAGTCCTCACGATTTCAGAACTTTACTGAATCTGTGCCTAATGTTGACATCTATCTTTGTCTTGACCAAGATCACATACCATGCTTGGGGCTGAGCAGGAGATGAGCCTTTGCTTTCAGTATATGAAAGCAACTGCTCTCAGGGGAGGATGTTGTAAGTGGAGCGGACTGCAAATAAACAGCTCAGCCTCATCTCAGTAGCTGCATCACAGCACATACCCAGTCCAATATCAGGTATTATTATTTTTGTCTGTTTCCATAATAAAAAGCATTGGTTAATTTTCTCAGTGTCTCAATGCATCTAGCAGTGCTTCTCCAAACTACTGTGTTGACGGGCTTGCTTGCATTCTTTTTAAAAAAGGGGGGTGGGAATCAACCAACAGAATTGATTTTCAGATGAGTTTTGCCAAGTAATAGCTTTTTGAACGATCTGTTGTAGAGTGAATATCTGTTCGCAGCCTGATCTGCTTGGGCGAGCTAACCTGGCCTATTTTCTGTATATAGGATAAGGCCATCTGTATTTTTGTTGGGTTTCTTCAGTGCTTTCTCTGTCATCTCCCACCACATGTCCCATATTCCTGCCGCCAATATTCCATTACTAAATCATGACAGTGGAGTGACCAAAATTCCATCTCCAGGACTCAGGCTCTATAATAGAGTGGTTTAACAACCAATATCTTTTCCCAGGGAACTCTGGGAATTTTAGCTCTGTGAGGAAAAAAGGGGGTCTCCGAACCACCCTCAGAACCCTTGACAAACTGCAATCCAAGATTTTTTGGGGGAAGACCTGGCTATTTAAAGTGGTATGATACTGATTTTAATGTATATACAGTGGTACCTCGGGTTAAGAACTTAATTCATTCTGGAGGTCTATTCTTAACTTGAAACTGTTCTTAACCTGAGGTACCACTTTAGCTAACGGGGCCTCCAGCTGCTGCCACGCCGCCGCCGCAAAATTTCTGTTCTCATCCTGAAGCAAAGTTCTTAACCCGAGGTACTATTTCTAGGTTAGCGGAGTCTGTAACCTGAAGCGTATGTAACCCGAAGTGTCTGTAACCTGAAGCCTTTGTAACCCGAGGTACCACTGTACCTCAAATGAGATTCATGTCTGAATAGGCTTGCCTGAACAAAAAAGGTTTTCAGCGAGTGATGGAAAAAGCACTGTGCTGTCAATCGGCACCAGCTTACAAGGGCAATTTGGGAGTGGTGATGTCTGTGAGCATCACACTTCCCTCCTTAAGACGGGGAGAAGCTTCCTAGGCTTTGGGAAGGAGGCACCAAGGGAAAATTTAGGTGACCAGCCTAGCCTCCCTAATCCACTGACTGCACACCACTGTTGCCAGTTCCACAGATCGAAGCAGTCAAATACTTATCATCCCTGGTTATCGGCTGTCCTGGGCCATTTCCTCATTTCACTGTAGGATTCTTGCAATTGCAGCATCTCTG